CTGCTCAGCATCTATCAAATGGAAATATCATACCATTATCAAAAGGGAGGTCATTTTGCACAACAGTCTTCTTCTTCCTCTTCTTCTTCGGTGATCACTCATGGACGAGTAAGACTGTCTTCCATGAACACACGGTCTTAACAGTGAGTCCATAAGTGACCGTGGATGCCAATTCTGGATCCACACGTCCTTCCTCATAACAGGACAGTAGGACTCACAGGGGTCCACAAAATTATGGTTATCATTGGTAGCTTGCCTAAACTTTTCGGTCATTTGAATCCTACGCCCTCCCTCGAGAGGAGTGCCTTATCCTATATCTCACACCGTGTCTCAAAAATGAGAGGTTGAGGAGCTGGGGAGGATTGTGCATAATGTGAAAGCAAGCCCAGAGCTGTAGAAGGGAGTGGCAGGGCTTGCTTTGGCTGGTCTCTCCATGAACCCAGTAATCACAGATCCAAAAAAACAACAACAACCCCACACTCTGTCTTCCTCTGAATTTTGAGAAGAGTCGGAGTTTCCTCATTCTCTATAGAGTTCCAAGATTGAGAGGAAATCTGTATCACTGTGGCTGGTAACATTGGAGGGGGGAAATGGTTCTGTTCTTAAGGTTTCTAAATCTGGCTGTAAACATTACCCTTCCCTTGAACCCCAAGCACTTTTTACTAGTGGCTGCAGCTGCTTCTGTAATGGTTTCTGTGGTAGCAGTAGACGTCTATCCTTGTCCCCTTTTTCTCTTCTCTAATGCCCCAAATGAATACTGGTTTGGCAGTATCTCAGCTGCCAGCATCCCAGGTGTCAGAGGCTAGGGGAACACAATTTCCCTTGACATCAAGCAGGCTGTAAAAATAACATTTCCCAGGGCTCCCGGAGCTCCCAAATCCAAAATGGGATCCCTGGGCTAATGTTAACAGTTTGGGCACTCTTTGATGTCAGGCTTACATTGTAAGCCATTTACTGAATAACTGTCTTTCAATTAACCAGCAAATGTACATATAGAATAAATTAGAGTAATTTCAGACAGACAGCAGAAGGGTGAATAGCTTCACTCAGCTAAATTATATAAAATGAAAACAATTTTACATGCATTGAGTGGATTTAGAGAGACTGCTTTTGTCAACGACTTTAGTATTGATCATGCCTCATATGGCATACTTCTGTTTACAAAGAATACAAATCTATTAATATTATTCTATTCCCCCCCCCCATTATTCTTTTACCAGTATTAAGAACACGGAGCTGTTTTCCACCCTTGGCTTTTCCATCATGTAGTATATTGATTAAGATATTTTATGATTAGCTTTCCCAGCAACTTCAGGAGTTATGCTTTAGTAAGAGGGCTTTTGTTGAAGTTTGAGAACTACTGGGCTGGGAGTCTGACCTCTGCATCTGACATTGTTACAATTTCTAAAACCATCTGAGTTTGGGTAGCCCAGGATTACTATGACTGACAGTTCAAAAATGCAGTGATCTGTTGTGTCTAACCTATGTCAAGCTGGAGAATATTTAAATCAATAATAATGCTATCAGAAGTGGAAAATCAAATGCAAAATAATTCCCTAGGCTTCCTGTGCATAATGACACTTGCTCTTTTGATGAATTGCTAATGCATTCTTGCACAGGAGAACAGCCAAATCTGGGATAGAAAGAGCAAGACTGGAAGAATTTTTGCTTTTGTTGCCCTTACTACTGTTCACCGCTGTTTATTTTTTTGTCTAAAAGTGTAGAATTCACTGTTTAAAAACCATATTCAAGGCAGCACAACTCATACTAATTACCATTAAAAGACAAACAAATCCACCCAAAACCACTTTGTTTATCTCATCAGTGGTTATGGGCTTGTTCAGAATTTAAAAGCTGGGGGGATTATAATAACTACTCTTTCATCTCTCCATAGAAAGCACTTGGCACAGCCCTGATGGAATACTACTACATTGCAAAGCTGGCAGAGGAGCTGTACAACTGAGTACTCTTCACATCACAAATTCCCTGCCCATTGAAACATAGCATTTCAGGGACAGCGGTCATCCCAATGTGCTCGTTTTCCATTCAGTGACTTTTTGATGTGCACGAGCCTTTAGTGATTCTATTTCCCATCAATATTCTGAAGCAGCACAAGCTTAAAGATTTTTTGATTCTCTAAAAGTTCATCTCTTATTTGGGGGGGAAAAGAGTTGAGAATATTTCTGCATCTCATAGCTATAAAGAACAGGAGTTGTTTTTTTAAAGGATGGAAGAGCACATGAAGGCTGAAAGCTAGACGTAAAGAGAGAGGGGGGTCCGTCTCTTAAAACTGGGGAAGCTTCAAAGAACATATATAGTGTCAGAAACCCAGGAGATTCCAGGCTTGCCATAACATATTGATTCGAAGCCCGTTGGAAAGTATATCCTTTCTGGCATAAAAAGGCAATAAATATTTGGCAAAGGTGTGTAGCCTTTCTGCACTTAAGGTAAGAAGGGTGCATTTTGCCAGTGCATCCTTTAATATGTACTAGTTGTTAATTAAAACAGATGACTTTACTAGTTCATGTTTTATGCATTTGTGGGATTTTAATACAGCCACAACTAAAAGGTTTGGTTCAGGAGCTTGGAAGCCTCCTGTAACCCTTTAACAAAGCACTTTTCGACTTAATTGATGTGCTTAATGCTGCTATGATGCCTACTCAAGGTGCTCTAGGGACGTCAAGTAATGAAAAATGAAAATCTACTCCCACTCTCTTCCTGTGTGCATTAATGGACACCATTAATGATGCAATCGTTTACCTTGCTACTCAAAAGTAAGCCTTGTTGTTTTTAATGGAGCTTGCTAGCATTGCAATAGCCTTCTCATGCATTCAGTGTATTAGCTCCATCCCTGCTCCCAAACTGGACAAGCCTGTAGTACATGTTGTCGCATGCCACCCCAATCTCTGAGTGGTGCAAGATTCCAGGGGTGCTGGGCACTTTACCTAGGGTCCATGTTTCCTTTTGGAAATGAGGCACAGCCGAAACTGTGGAGTCTTGATTTATGGTTGATTTACACCTATATGTGAATCAACCATTTACAACCTGAGCTTGGGAGAGGCTCCCAGCATTAACACTCCAAGAGAGACTTGTTTCTCCACAGCCGTGGATGCAAACAGAAACCAACCATCATGCTTCAGCCCTCTCTCCAGCTTGCGGTCTTTTCCAACCTGAAACCTTTTCCCTCCCGGTCACATCCCAGCCAACTCTGGCTTTGTCTTCTAACTAACTTGGAGCTGGAGGAGGGGCCCCACCAACTTGCCATCTGACACAGAGCCTTTGCCTTCTTAATGGGCCATTGACTTCCCTTTGTTTTCCTAATGGCTCATCACTCCAGGCGATTACCTCATCAGGAAACCAGCCTGGCTTACAATTTACGTAATCCTTGCTGGATCCAGGGGTTCAGGAGGCTTGATTAAATTCTAGCACTTACTGGATCCAGGAATTCAGGGGAGTCTGGCATGCCACTAATGCATAAGGCCACGAAGACTCAACATGACTTTAAAACCCCAGGGGTGCATGGAACCACATTTCAAAAATATAGTTGACAACATTCCAACCTTATGGGGAAATGGGAGATGGGGTGGGGGAAGTTCCCATTTTTTAAAATCTCATTTTACTTTCTTTATTACTTTATTGTTTTAGGGGTGGGGCAAGAGGAAAAGGTTTGTGTTAAGCTGTATCAAAACTGTGAAGTAGACTATAAATGCAATTATACAAAGTATTTCAAGGTTGGGGGAAAATGGAAGGCACGCCTCACCTGGAACCTAATTTGGTCTTGGGTCAGTCAGAGCAGATGATATTGGGTTATGTGGATCAGTAGTCTATCCCAGTATAATGACCTGACCTGCTGTTTGGGGTGGGGCATGCAACCAGACAACAGACCATCAAGCTTTAGACAAGGAAGGGAAAAAATGAGATAAGTGAAGATGGAAACAGCCACAATGGCCAAGGCTTAGAGACACTGCAAGTTGACATATGGAGTCAAATGCATCTAGCTCTTGCAAATTCTAGCACAGTGTAAACAAGCCTGGGGACTGTACAGTGGTGCCTCGCAAGACGAAATTAATTCGTTCCGCAAGACTCTTCGTCTTGCGAGTTTTTCGTCTTGCGATGCACGGTTTCCCATAGGAATGCATTGAAAATCAATTAATGCGTTCCTATGGAAACCGCCTTCAGACCAGGTCCGGGGACAGTCTGTCCCCCGACCTCTTCTGAAGGCTGGGGGGGCTGGGAACAAGGGCTTTTCTTCCCACCCCCAGCATTTTAAAAAACCCTGGGACAGCGGAGGACTTCTCTTCTGAAGGCAGGCGGGGGGCGAAAGTCTTTGCTCCCCCCCCCCGCCTGCCTTCAAAAGCCCTCCGGGACAGCGGAGAAACGCACTGCGTTTCTCCGCTCTCCCGGGAAGGCAGGCAGGGGGGAACAAAGACTTTTGCCCCCCGCCGCCTTCAGAAGGTGTTCCCGCCCCGCCGCCCGGCTTCGGAGGAGGTCCGAGGACAGTGGGGAAGACGCGCTGCGCTTCCCCGCTGTCCCGGAGATTTCCCTATGGGCTTTCGTCTTGCGAAGGAAGCCCATAGGGAAATTCGTTTTGCGAAGCGCCTCCAAAACGGAAAACCCTTTCGTCTAGCGGGTTTTCCGTCTTGCGAGGCGTTCATCTTGCGGGGCACCACTGTACAGTGAGATTTCTGCTGAGGGGAAAACTTCAGGAAGAGTCTGTGTTTCCTGTGGAGTGTTTCAGGACACAGCCTTGCCTGAAGATGTCCATATCTAGAAGTGTTCTCAAACATCCCTCCAAATTGTAATCTCATTGTTTGTGGAGATTTTTCAAATTCAGTTAATGGGGAGAAAGATGGGAACCTCACTTGTTTGTGGAGACTTTCTTTAAATTCTCTAGTCTCACAAGAAAAGGAACATACAAAATACTGGAATTGCATACGGATATTTGTCTGCCTTCACTCACTACACTCCAAGATAACAGAAGAGATCAGGATACATACAAACCAAGGAAGCGTTTTCTTAATCATTTGGCAACACAAAATGCTGGCTGTTTTAGTTTTCCATTTGTTGATTTGATTTGCTCTTCACATTGAGGGAGAAATCCTGTAAATGGCAAGAAATGGCAATTTAATGTGTTCTAATTGATGCTTCTGGAAAACTTGCATCATCATAGGAGAAAGCAACACACAGTGATGTCATTTCCGTACCAGTGTGAAAACCCATGTTTGTTTCCTAATGCCAAAATGTGGACATTTCGACAGTTAAGACGAATACTCCGAAAGGATATTTTGTTTTACTACCGTATTTTTCGCCCTATAGGACGCACTTTTCCCCCTCCAAAAATGAAGGGGAAATCTGGGTGCGTCCTATGGGGCGAATGCAGGCTTTCGCCGAAGCTTGGAGAGCGAGAGGGGTCGGTGCGCACCGACCCCTCTCGCTCTCCAGGCTTCAGGAAGACATCCGCAGCCTAGGCAGCCCTGCGGGAGGTCCCGCAGGGCTGTCTAGGCTGCGGATAGCAGCCTGCCGCCCGGCGGGCAGGGCGCACTCAAGCAGAGCGCCCCGCCCGCCGGACAGACATCCGCAGCATGGGGAGCCCTGCAGGAGTTCCCCGCAGGGCTCTCCCCACGCTGCGGATAGCAGCCTGCCGCCCGGCGGGCGGAGCGCCCTGAAGCAGGGCGTCCCTCGCGCCGGGCAGACATCGGCCAGCACCACAAGCTCGGGGGACAGCAGGGAGGCGCAGCACCACTATCCCGCTGTTCCTCGACCTGGTTCAGTTTCCCCGACCTGCTTTGGGGGGGAAATAAAGGGAATTTTTTTCCCTTTATTTCCCCCCCCAAAAAAACTAGGTGCGTCCTATGGGACGGAGCGTCCTATGGGATGAAAATTACGGTATCTTTCTTATGCATCATTTTCAGAAACTTCCTTTAGGCTTCTAATATCGTTGTTACATACCACTGAATAGCATCAAAGGGCTCTGTGGCACAGCCTTCAAAAACAGTAGACGAGACTAGGCCTTTGGGAATGAAAGAAGAATAGAGCAATGCCATTTTAATCCAGAAAACAAGTGTGTATCAGAAGTTTGGGAAACATTGGGTTCCTAGAATAGTAGCTTATTAGCACAGAGCCTAACTGTATGTGCCTGGCCAACCCTTGTTTTTCAACCCAAAGGTATTATGATGCATTTTACAGTGATTCAAAACCTGCCTGGTATAATCCTCTGCGTATGGATGTGGGAGCGTAATCGCCTTCTTCTTTTTGCTCAGGAGTGCTAGCTAGCAAACCGCTCGATCTGCAACCTTGTTAAGATGAAGCACTTGGACATAAACAGATTGGGTCTTCCTGAAGTCATTGGAATTAAATTGGTTTAAATCCAAGCACTTAAGCTTAATTGGGGTGAGGCTTTGGGTTGTACATCTGACAGCGCATATATTCGTGACAAGTGCCAAATTCGCTCTCTTGCTCTCTCTCCACCTTGCCATCGTTTTCATTGGGGATGAGAACTACGAGCTGCATCGGAATTGCCTTGAAGGGATGCTCTGGCATTGTCCGTGTGATTTTTCTGCTGCTCGGCTTCCCTAATAAATCATTTATATCAGGAGAAGAAGTGCAACAGGGCTAGTAAGAAAAACATGGTTGTTGTTGTTGTTGTTACTGCTGCTGTTGCTGTTGTTGTTTTGTCTCCATGTCAGAGAGCAAAAAAGCCAATAGTTTCCCCAGCCCAGTTTGTCACTTTAGCTCCAGTTAAATGCTGACCTATCTGAGATTTTTGAACTTTCTGTTGACATCTCTATGAACTTGCTCTCTGTAGTTTTGAGTCAGCTTGCTGGCCTCTGCTTAGATCCTTATGCTTCTTAAATCTTCAGTTCTGTTTCTTTCATCTATTTTGCCCCTTGATAAGACTGTAGAAGTCTTGGAATTGGTTAAGGAAGAAGAGAAAAGCTCATCCACTGCTGTTTTCTTAGCACATATTTTTTTAAAAAGAGAGGAATGGGAAACAGATAGGGTGGTGGAATAACATCGGCCCCATAAGAATAGCTTTAGTACCATAGGCAGAATGGCATGTTCACTCCTACAATTTATAACGTGTTTTTTATAGGGGAACAAGAGCAATCCTGTCCTATTAGTGCCAAATTAGAGAAAACATTAGATCTGCATCTTTGTCCTTAAGTGCAGGGCTTTTAAATGCAAGTTGCCATGGTGAAGGTATCAATCTGGACTGGTTCCCTACCACAGGAAAGGAGTAGTGCCAACTTTTTGTTGCCTACTATGGTTCCAAATCACAGGACTCTATGCTGGCAGTTTCTACAAGGAAAATAACTCCCACAGGATTCAACTGGTTCCCCCCCCCATGGAAATTGCAGGCCCTGGGTCAGGGGAGCTGTCCAGATTAGGACTGAAGCAGGAAGCAAAAGCTGAAAACCCTCTAAACACCCGACCACCACCACCACTGCTTGGGTCTTGCTCCATGTTGGGGACCCTGCACTGGCAATTTGTGTTACGTCGGGGTCACCAGATGTAGGAATGAAAAATCACAGGAAACGAGAGAGGCGGGTTAACATGAGGCGTCTGGCCAGGGCGGACCCTGGGAGCCCTTTTTATTGAATATTGCAAACATTGACACAGGTGTGCTTGTGGCTGATTGGTTGATACATACATACACAAAGAAACTTGTTGTTGATTGGTTAACATAAGCATAAGGCGGGAATTACATGTGAGAAATGGGGGTTACGTATGATCATTTATTATCGGTGGATTAAAGGCTGGGAATCGAAGCTAGAACTAGACAGGCATGAAGCCTCCTAATTAAATTGTAATGATGGATCATGGCATGAAACAATATAACAATCAAGTTCTGTAGATGTGGTCAGCTAGGCATGAAGAGCGGGTCATGTTGTTTTCCATGAGCTTAGGATGACTGAACAAGGAAAAGAATGTCCTGGTGTTTAGAACAGATCTGTACAGTGTGTGCAAAAGCAGGGAAAAGATTATAAGCAAGACTTTCCAGAATGTAAGAGAAAAGGTGCAAGGCTTCCCCAAAATGCAGCAGGTATGGGCAGAAGGAAAACTTCCCTTTATAAAACAACAACCTGCACTTAAGGACACATACATGGAACTTAAGTGCTACCTAGCTTGTGCCTTGGGACGCGGGTGGCGCTGTGGGTTAAACCACAGAGCCTAGAACTTGCCGATCAGAGTCGGCAGTTCGAATCCCCGTGACGGGGTGAGCTCCTGTTGCTCAGTCCCTGCTCCTGCCAACCTAGCAGTTCAAAAGCACGTCAAAGTGCAAGTAGATAAATAAGTACCGCTCTGGTGGTAAGGTAAACGGCGTTTCCGTGCGCTGCTCTGGTTCTTCAGAAGCAGCTTAGTCATGCTAGCCACATGACCCGGAAGCTGTACGCCGGCTCCCTCGGCCAATAAAGCGAGATGAGCACCGCAACCCCAGAGTCAGTCACGACTGGACCTAATGGTCTGGGGTCCCTTTACCTTTAGCTTGTGCCTTAGCTTCTTCCATTCCCCGCTTTCCTAGCCAGCCAGTCCCCCTGCCTTCCCTTTCATTTCTTCAAAAAAATACCTGCTGGTGGCTTGGTAACAGAAGAAGCTCCCATCAACAGCTGGTGTAGAGATGGACATTGTTTTCTGAAATGCTAACCTGGCAGCTGGGCTCTGGTGCCCAGCAAACTGCTGCAACAGGTATTTGAGGGCATAATGGAGATGCTGTTTAAAAGGGAAGTGGGTGACTTTAATGAGGGCTGTTGTTTTGGGCTAATGCCAAGCTCATTAAAAACCAGACCTGATATTTGCAGGCAGGAAGCGGTGGTTGCACTGGGCTCTTGAATATAAAAAACCCCCACAGAATTTGTTTAAAACATATTTCTTATGAAAAACTCTCTTTTTTCCCATCAAAAGTCTCAAGATTTGTCAGCTTTTTGCCAGGATCCCTAGGGGACTGCCTATCCACTTTGAAATACCATCTGCTTCCACTGGGACTAAGGCGAGGGACTTTGAGATTTGCACCTTCAAATGTTGAAATGTGGAACCGAAAGAAACAAGGGCTCTACGATGAATTCCAGTTTTGAAGCCTGCCTACACAAGAAACCAGAAAGTTTAAATTCTGTGGTCCAAAGGCAGACAAATCACTGATTTAATCTCTTTACGGTGGGAGTGGGCACTTGGTATACATAAACTGGTCTTTCCCCATATTCTGGAGAACCATTCTTTATGTTTCCCCATGTTCTTCACTTGTGGTTAAATCAAGGTGCTTTAATTTCGCACTAGGTGAATATTAAGCCTCTTGGTTCCGTATGTGGCCCTGTGCCTTTAATTAAAGAAAAGGAAAAAGACAAGTGTATCAGTTGATGCTGAACCTGAGGCCACAGTAATAGCTTTTCCGTACTATTTGTCTCATTTAATATTCACAGGCCACAAGGCTCTGTCTGTCATTTGTGGTTAGGAGTCTACATTTCCCCCCCCCTTTTAGTTGGAGAGAGCACTTGTCCTTTTTGTTCTACTTTGACACTGACACCGTGTTTTGCTTTACTCTGAACACAAAAGCGTGAGCGCCCCGTGCTGTTTGTACATTGGTGTCACCTCCTCCACCTGAAATTAGCATTCCCCAGTGCCAGCCAGCATATTTATATGGAGCATAACGTCCTAACTTTGACAAGTTAGGAAACAAAAACCAGTGTACAATGAGCATGCCAATTGAGGCTGATTATATTAATTGCTATTCAGGTCAGCGCTCAGATTAATTATTATGTTTGTGTAGCGTGTTTGTTAAGTGGTTGCCTGATTGCTGTTCAGAAGATTGATTACTTGTTACATTTACCTTGTGGCTTCTGCGGGGGAAACCGGTGCTTGCATTTCATCAGTTCAAAGCACACTGAGGTCAGGGAGGGCAAGTGGGAATTGCGTGTTGATCTCTTGGTAGGAGCTTGTGCAGACCTGAAATGGCATCAAATGCTTTGTTGATTTATATGCACCCTTTTGATCTTCCTTAGGGACATCCTGAAAGCATGTCACTAAGTTTCAGTGATTTTCAAATCCTATATACATACACATACAGTTTTTAAAAATTAGATTCCTCTTTTGTCATTACTAGAGCTGAGCTGAAAATTCTCCAAAGAAATCTTTCTGAGAAGGTTACTGGGATTTTTCTTATTTTCTATCTCTGCACACACACGGTAAAAAAGGGCCATTCTCCTTCCTTTACCTTTGTGTGGTAGCAGCCACTTCCCCCTGGAATGCCCCAGAATGATGGTATCCATGGCATCATGGGATATGCAAAATGGTACCTAGACTGCCAACACAGCTAACACTGTTCACTTGCAGTAGCACCAAAAACAGAAGTGGGGAAGCTGTGCTCCTGCCACTGCTGTTGGCAAAATTCATCCTGGTTAAACTGTTGGAGATTTTCTCCTTTCCTTGGGATAATTCAATGAAAATTCCCTTGCAATTTCTCTGCCAACAAATAGGGCAGGGGAATTTTGATGTACCAGGTCATGGGGAAAAAGAAAGTGCACCCTTTTTGAATTCTGTAGTTTTACAAATGAAGGCATAATAACAACCATCTGTTCCTTAACAGGTCTTAAAAGTAGGTTAAATACAACCTCAGATGAACAACAACACATGACATATTACACTGTGTCATGCAGAACATGCGTATAAAAATAAAATTCCTAGTTACGTTTGTGGGTCTGCATGACCTTGTACCTTGTTACACCAGTAAATCCTCTTCATTTATACAAATTCCAGTACAAAACTGAATTATTTCCTTAGGTTAAGAAAAAAAATAAAGGAATGCATATCCCCCCCCCCCGTCATTCTAGTTTAAGTAGTACCTTTAAGAATTTCCAGTAGTTGCTTTGTATCCTCTGCTCTTTGTACTTTGATCCGAGCTATTTGGTCTCACATTTCCATAAAGGCAGTTGTCACCCTGGAGAAAGATAGCATCATATAATTTAGTAAAGGGCATACTGGGGGGTTTACAAAATACTTAGGGATTTAGGGACAAGAGGCTCTGTGATTAGAGCAAAGTGTGGAAGAGAACTTGGTTTTATTATCATTGAACATAAATGAAATATGCTTGGTGACTGGTAAAAAAGAGTTGTCGGCGAGCATATAAAAACAATGCAAATAGTTATTGTGGTAGTTATGAAGATATTCGGACAGTTGTTTCAAATATCGAAAGTGTTTGGCTATAAATATACCTTTACTAAACATGTGTCAGAGTGTTAAAGGGCACCTGGTTTTGGGAGGCAATGCCATAATCAGAGGAATTATATTGGGACTTAGTCCAATGTTGATTTAGTTTAATTGGATTGAGAGGCTATTCCAAACTAAGTGAAATCTTTAATAGTAGCAGAAAATAGTGTGGCATCCCAAGTGGAAACATCCACAAGTTCCGTCTATAAGGAAATGACTGATGAAGTTTTTAGAGTTGGCAGAAATGGATAAATTAACTGATTTGATTAATAGGCAGAAAGGTAGTTCTCAGAATTTAATGTGTTCCTGAGAGATGGACCTGCTATTTACTGTGTCACAAATGAGAAAGTGTCCTCAGGGGCTAGAGCCCCAGTCCAGGGAGGTATAAACCTGCTGCCCATACCACTCAAGAAGGAAAGCAGGGTTGGTGATGTAACACAGCTCAAAACGGCTGGCGTCAAGCACAGGGAATCAGTTCAATTGGTCACTAGTGGAAGGTTGTACAATTCTTCAGTAAAATACAATAAAATCTCAAGCTTTGAATTCTGGTGATTTTCTAGGGGAAGGAAGTTTCATATTTGTGCAGCAATTTTTAATCTCTCCCCCCCCCCAAACTCTCAGTTCATAGAAAAAAATTACTCGCAATCTAAGATTTAAGAGAGGGGATAGACAATATCATCCCATAGCAGTGCAATGCCTTATGCTCCAAATATCCTCTGCATTCCATCCCCTTGTCCCTCTTAACTCAGTTTCTGGCGGTGTGGTGCTGGTATGAGGAATAGTTGCAGTATGGACTTCTTGTATTACCGCAGCAGCATGGGAAGGAGGCTCAGGGACGGGGAGCTTGTGACTCTCCAGATGTTTTTGCCCATGCTAAGTGGGGCTTGATGAGAATCCAAAAGCATCTGAAGGACCACAGGGCTCCCCATCAGTGTGACATCTCCCACCATAGGCGCCGACTCCATGGGGCCTGAGGGGGCCCGAGCCCCCTCAAAAATTTTATTGGGGGGGCTCTGCCCCCCCAATAATTTAAGAAAGTTATTAGTTATATTCAGCGGCGCCCGGCAGAGCAGCCCTCTCGGCCACGGCAGGGACAGCACGGGGGCCGCTTGGAAGAAGCTTCCCACCCTGGGGGAGGAGCCTCCGCCGGCCCAGGTGAGCCGAGGGCGGGCAGGTGAGCCCGGCTGGCCCCGCCCCGGCCCCGCCCCCCGCCCGGCTTCCTCTTTCTCCGGCCGGCAGCCGCGCCGGGTCTGCCGCGCCCAGGGGGCCCCGTCGGGCCGAAGCGCCGCCGTAGCCATGCACACCCCGGCTCAGCCGGCAGCCGCCCCGGTGAGTGAAGGGGGAGCATCACCTAGTGGTTGAAGCGGGGTGGGGTGCGGTGGGGGGGTGCCCCGGGATTCCTTGGTGCTGCTGGGGGGTGGCGGTTGCAGTAGCAGCTCGGTGCCGATTCTGAGAGCATCTGGGCATGTGCAGAGTGCCTGATCTCTCCTAGTATGCAACTGCGCGCAAAACGCTCCCTGGCGCAGCTGGTGGGAAGGATTTTTTTGGGGGATGGTGGGGTCGCTTATCGCTACTGCCCCCAAAATCTCTCCACCGTCGGGACTCAGGCTTTGGGGTTCCTTTAAGGCCGTCAGGCTATTTTTTGCCCAGATTCTGCCCCATCTCGTTTGCCCCCTCCTAAGCCAAGATTGGATGGTCTTCGGGGCAGAGACCTCCAACCCCAGGGCCCAGAATGGAGATGAGCCCCAGCAGCGCCCACTTTCTCTCCTAAGTCAGGATTCTTCCAGCTTGGGATGGGGAACCCAAGTCCCTGGACGGTCCAGATTTCGTCTCCAGAGTCTCACCTTTCCAAAGATTCCAGCTAAACTTTAGGAAGAAATTTCTGGCTGCTAAGAGCCATTCAACCAAAATATGGTGGTCTCTTCTTCACTGGAGCTTTTAAAGCAGAGGTTGGGTGGCCATCTGTTAGGGATTTTTTAAGCTGCGATTTCTACGTTGCGGGGGGGGGGGGGCTGGAATAGATGAACCCTGGGGGGCCCTTCCCAGCTCTACAGTCCTGTGGTTCTTTTCCTTCCCGCTGCTCATGTTCTCACCTGTCCACACCACCTGTGGAAGCCCAGCTCTACCTTTCGTTATGCCCGGCTCTGATCTGAACCGTAAAAGCTCATGTGGCACACCCAGCCTGTTATTGAGCATCTGTTAGGAGAATCGCAGCAGAACTGTGTCAGAGGAGAGACAGGGCGTCGCTGCCTCAGTTTCATCCAACTTCCTGCTACTGCACCTTTCTGTTATCCCACCTGTGTTATGCGAGAGGGGATGGCACGACAGGTGCCCCACATGGAAGTTGTTGCATCTGGCCTGACTCCGGCGTACTGAGAAGGGAGCCCTGCCTCTCTCAAGAATGCCAGCTTGTCTCCCTTTATTTATTTATTTTTAATTAAAATGTTGCTAAGTTGGTTTCCTGGGCAAACATCTATTCAAAGCAGCCAGCAAGCAAAACAACATGAAAGGGATGGTAAGAAACAGTTTGATGCAACATCAGCAAAAACAAAAGCTAACGCTCTTCTAGGCTGCATCCTCAGAAATCTAGGGTCCAGATCAAGGGAAATCATAGTCCTGTTCTGTTCTGCCTTGGTCAGACCACATCTGGAGTCTTGGGTCCAGTCCTGAGCGCCACAATTTAAGGAGGATGTTGACAAGCTGGAATGTGTGCAGAGGAGGGCGACCAAGAAGATTTGGAAACCAAGCCTGATGAGGAACGGTTGAAGGAGCTGGGGATGTTTAGCCTGGAAAAGAGGAGACTGAGAGGAGATACGAGAGCCATCTTTAGATATCACCCGGAAGATGGTAGAGCAAATTTGTTTTCTCCTGCTCTGGAGGGTAGGGCTCGAAGCAATGGATTCAAGTTACAAGAAAGAATCCTGACTAAATATCAGGAAGAACTTTCTGACAAATTGTCAGAGCATTGTTGTTGTTTAGTCGCGTCCGACTCTTCGTGACCCCCATAGGCCCCTCAAAAATTTTATTGGGGGGGCTCTGCCCCCCCAATAATTTAAGAAAGTTATTAGTTATATTCAGCGGCGCCCGGCAGAGCAGCCCTCTCAGCCACGGCAGCCCGGCTCTCCCAGCCCCCGGGGCCGCCCTCCTCCCTCGCGCACCCGCAGCGTTCCCGCCCGGGGAGGCGGCGCCCCCAGGAGAGGCGGCGGCGGCAGCAGCAGCCGCGCGCGGCCCGGGCTCCCCTCGCCGGCCGCGGGAGCCAAGGCGCGCGACGAGGGCAGCCGAGGAAAGGAGCGCGCGGCCCCATCCCGCCCTCGCCACTCACCCTTCTGCAGCGGCCCCGCCCAGCGGGGAACTTAGAAAACTTCCCGGGGCAGGACCCCGGTATGGGCCCCCCCAATATTTTTTATAAGTCGGCGCCCCTGTCTCCCACTTCACTGGTGTAACATGAGAAGAGTGTCACAGAATAGGGAGGAGAAGAGAGGAAAGGCTAGCAAAGAATGAATGGAAAGAAATGCAGCTTAACACTAGGGCTCTCAGATGTTGTTGTTTGCACAATGGGTGTGCAATGGGTGGGCATGTAGCCTAGTGATGCCACACCATCGATGTGCAAAGCAGCTACCCTCCTTATACACTTCACAGATCCCACAGCACACATACTTTTAATGTAGGTGGAGGTCTGCTTTAGTTAAGCTTTGTTTCAGTCAGGGTTTAAAAAGGGAAGCTTTTGTAGGGGGATTTTTGCAAGAAATGTCTGCTGTTCAGATGGATCATACTCCAAAGATGTAATATGTTTTTAATATCACATGCTTGGGTGGCAGTGAGGAGTAAGTTCAAGCTAATGAGATTCTTCTCATTGTCTTCCTGGAATTCTTCCTTTAGTGTCAGGGGGTTTATACACCCAAGGGAAGACATGAGTTTTCATCCTATCCCATCCCTTGGAGATAGGATTCATAAGTAGGCTGAAATCCTATGTGCCTGTGTGGTGGTTTTTTGTTTTTTGTTTAAAAAAGAAGTAAATATATAAAATGGTCTAGAGATGGGCATGCTATTTACTGTGTCACAAATGAGAAAGTGCTTTTCCATACATCACTCAGAAATGTTGCACAGGCAGTAAAACTTAGTTTAGTTACAAAGTTGTGAAAGTTCCTAAATTATTAATATAGGAACACAGGGATGGCTGGTGAGAGCCATGTGACTGAGTTGAGGCAACCAACTCAAACCTCTTCACAGGCTGGGTTTCTCAGGTGGACAATAGGCTGGATTACTTATTTCCTCCCAAGATAAGGGAAATGACATCGCTAAGCCTGGCAGGGCAGCATACTCTATGACAGGGGTAGGCAACATAAGGCCCATGGGCCACAAGCGGCCCACGGGGGTCGTTTAACCAGCCCACAAGCCACCCCTGAACCAAGCCACCCGCTCGGTGAGTCCCCGCGTGCTGCACTAAACCAGCGCTATCCATCATATTCAGTTGAAAGGCCTTAGCAAACATCGAGCAATGCAGCAACCCAGCCTCAACCCCTTGATCCAACAACTCTTCCCAGAAGATTTGTGTTTAACACCCACTGTGTTTAGTGTGTTTGACCCTGTTACATTATACCACACATTTTTCATTGTCTTACAAGCATCCATTATTATTATTATTATTATTATTATTATTATTATTATTATTATTATTTTGCAATATTAAAACTTTATTTTTCAAAACTAGAAATAGAAATTTTACTCGGA